TAATACATATTTAATCATGAATACGCCCTTCCTTTTTTTCACAAACACTGGCCATAACCAATGTGGCTTAAACACACTTGGTAGTTTTCTCTATGAATGTTAATAATGTTCAGTGATATCCCATAATATTAAATACAAGATAAAATAGCATATTTTGTGTGTATATCACAGCTATAGGGGCCCTACAATTCCATTTAATTGCATTGATAACACTGAATTATTCAAAGACCCTGGCAGACATGTTCATGAGATTAGAAAAAGCAAAAGAGACACAAAGAGAAGCAGGTAAGCAAACTTTACTGCTGGAACTGAGACCTATTAGACCCATTTTAATATTTCACATTATTTCAAGTCTCCAAAGAGCTATTTGATAATTGTATGCACCAATAATTTTATGCATTATTACTTTATTGAATGCATTAAAAACTCAGAGTGACCAGATATTTACTAGGTTCTCAACCTACATTACTTGGCAAACATATAGCGAGGATTGATTTCCTTCTCCCTATATCCTTTAAGCATATAAAGCTCAGAGAAGTGACTTATGCATATTCAGCATATCATGGGAATTCGACAATATCAGACAAAAATATTCATTTGTTTTGTTATGTTTTGCATCCATCCCAGGACATTTTCATGTTTTCTACTCTACTGTAACCAAGTGGAAAAATTACCCACTGTACAATTTAAAATTTATTTTATTTAGTTTATTATTTCTTTTGGAGATTTGAGATATGGCCTCATTGTACAGCAGGGATAGCATTGCTTTGGAGAACCTCCTACCTAAGCCTCTTAAGTGCTGAGATTAAAATGTACCTGACTATACCTGGCTAAAATGAAATTTCTTGATGAGTTAGATTTAGAAGTTATTCTTAAGGAGACTTCATATATGTTTTTGATGGTACATGCTAAGAATAAGAGAATGTATTTAATAATGACTGAATTTTTATTGGGATAACAAATATAAGTGATTAATGGTAAAATTTGATGCCTATCAATTGTTAGAAATATCATATGCAAAATCATTTGAGCACTATGAAGGAACAATAATTTTAAAGGACTGTTGCAATGAGGAGCTGATCCTCTACCCTCAGGGAATGCTAAATTTTCTAAATCTTTCAAAGTAGATATATATACTTCATAGAGAGAATTACAAACCACATGCTAATGTAGCTAGTGTATTTCCTAGGCAGTAGGTGGTGCATTATATTGTATATAATTGGTTTTGGATACTCTTTAGGCAAATAATTAAAAAATCTCTTTATGGATACATTAATTTAAACTGGCCTGGAAACATTGAGAAGAAAATAAGATTAAAGACAGCAATTGTCTTTCATGAATAAGTGTGCAGGAAAACAGAGTAGAAGGGAGGGCAGGGGAATGGGGAAAAATAAGAACCAAGATGGATTATATAAAAGTACAAATTTCTAATAATAAATGTCATTATATTGTATACCTAACACGTACCTATAGATTTAATAAAAAGGAAATATCAATTACTTGACATATGTTTGCAACAGTTTCTATATGACTAAAGTGGAAGGTATGTGGCAAATAACATTAAATTATATATTTAATTTAGTAATCAGTTTTATTATTTTTTTCCTCATTGAGTTTATTGGTACATTTTAGGTATGCAGTACTGTTACATTCATTATTGAGATCTTGTATTTTTACATGGTAGGTCTTGGTTCTCATTTTTTCCTCTTGTCCCTGCCCTCCATTCACCGCCTCCTCCCTTCCCCATTTACAAACACTTTATTTCCATTTTTTTCATTTTCTCCTATTTTTTTCCTTTTTCCTTATTGCCTTTCCCCTACCCTTCCCACTTTCCTTACACCTTTAGCCCTTTTCTTCCCATTTCACATTGTCAATTATCTCATTAGGATCTTATGTATTATTATAGTTTATTCACACCAGAGAAACTATTTGGTATTTACACATGTGACTTATGTATTTCACTGAGGAGTATATCCTCAATATGTATCCATTTTCCTATGAATGAGTCTAATTTCTCATTATTTATGGCTGAGTAATATTCCATTTTATAGAAAAAACACATCTTCTTTATCCAGTCTCCAACTGATGGGCAAATGGGCTGTTTCCAAGTTTTACCTATTACAAACTGTGTTGCTATAAACATAGGTGTGCATATATCACTGTGGTATGATTCTTTTAATTCTTTTGGAAAGATACCCAGCAGAGGGATGGCTGGGTCAAATGGAACCTCTAGTCCCAGCTCTTTGAGGTATCTCCATATTGATTTCCATAGTGGGTACACCAGTCTGAACTCCCACCAACAATGGAGAAGGGTTCCTTTCTCCCCACAACCCCACCAACATTTGTTATTGTGTGATTTCTTGATAGCAGCCATTCTTTGTGGGTTGAGGTGGAATCTCAGTGTTATTTTCATCTGCATCTCTCAAATGACAAGTGATGTGAAACATTTTTTCATATATTTACTTGCTCCTTTTACTTCTTTGTCTGAGAAATGTCTGTTCACTTCAGATGCCCATTTTTGAATCGGGTCCTTATATTTGGGGGGAGCTGATTGTTTTGAGTTCTTTATGTATTCTAGATGATAGTCCCTTGTCTGAGGAGCAGCTGGGAAAAATTTTTCCCACATTGTAGGTTGCCTCTTAGTTCTGTCCATGGTTTCTTTTGCAGTGCAGAAGGCAAATTGATTTTCTTTCACTACAATTCTTAGATTTTAACAAAGGCCACCTGCCCTGGAGGGACGCCAACACTTCCAGTTTGAAGGCAGTTCTTCCTCTTTGCCATTCTGTTCCCAACAGTGTGTTGCCAAAGTTGCTACTCCTGCTGTCAATATCTGCTTTGTCCAGATAAATAAAGTTAGTTTCAATCTTAGGTTCAAACATTAAAAATTGGGCACATTTACCATTTCTTTTCATTTCATCCCCATTTATTTTATAATTAATAAAATATTAATAGCAGGTAATATTAATGAACTATTTTGTAAGTTTTAGAAAATATCCAAAGAAGTAATGCACTGATCTTGACAGATATGTTGATTAGACTGGTTTAATTTAGAGTATATAGATATTTAAAAAGTTACCAGTTTGATATATTGATACATGAAACTGAAAAGCACTTGTCTATTTATATAACTTTTTGTTGTTGTTTCCTTTTTTATTTCGTTTGTTGTGATATTGATCAATCCTGTGGTCTTGAACATGGCAGACAAGTGCTCTACCATCCTGCTATATCCCCAGCACCAGTAGTTTACAAAAGTTTATTTAGAACAGATGAATTGGTAAATAGTTATTGTTGCCACATTGTATAATACATTAAAGAGCTAAATGTGTTTGATATTTCCTGTACTTTCTCCTCTGTTTCATTGCTTCCAAATGATATCATAGTGCAAGCTGACAAAATAATGAACTCGACTTTCTTTTGGTTAGCTGAGGTAAGAGCCTTGTAATTCATGTTTTGGGAAATATTAACATAAAAGTCTATTAACTAGGGATAGGAGGAAGATCAGGTCTCAAAGATGGGCTTTGGAGATGACCTTGGTGCTGAAGCCCATCACTTGCATGGAGATAATTTGTAATAAAAAATGATGAAAGAGCATTTTCAGGTTACTTAAGACTGTAAGTTCAAGGGAAAACAATCACCTATCTGTCTTCACACAACAAACCTTACCAATATATGAGCTTGACAAAAATAAACATATGGAGGAAAAAGAAACAATTTTAAGTGTTAACATTTTATTACTTTTGATGGGAAGTACTGAGCATTGACCCTAAAGTTCCACACTCAGCTCTGTTTTATTTTTTAATTTTGAGACAGCATTTTGCTGAATCAGTTTCCCAGATTGGGTTTAAATTTTCAATCTTCCTTCCTCAGCCTCCTAGACTGCTGGGATTACAGGTTTGTGTCTCCATGCCTAGTTATGTTTCCCTATTTATTTGGAGTGTCATTGGGGATAGAATTCAGGTCCTTGAGTTTGCAAGGCAGGCAATGGAACAACTGAGCTAAACCACTGGCCCTGTTTCCTTACTTATTAATCATTGATTTGTGCAATGTAAACTGATGCCACATTTATGGTTAGTGATACAGTTACGTGTATTCAAGGAAATAAAGTTCATAAAATTTTTACAAAATTCAAGGGTACAAATTATATATGAATTTTTTCTTAACAGACAATTTGAGTGAACACTGACTTACATGAAAGAGAGAAAACAGGAATTCAAGAATGATGAAACATTTCTAGGCAATAACAGGCACATATCTATATTTACCAGTGAGCCATCACATTATTTTAGTGTTCAGATGATGCTGTCCTAATTTTTGTGTGCTTGTAATAAATATTGTAAGCGTAAGGATATTGTACCTTGGTTTTAGATAAATACGTTTGCTTATTAATTGTCAGAATATATTTTCTTAAAGGAGACAGGCTACTACTCTTAATTTTTAAATAAAAGAGGAAACTATATTTTGCTATGATCACAGACTTCCAAGTTGCTAATATTTTGGGGTTTAACACTGTTGAGTGTCTGTAAAGTAGATGGCTACAGAAAGATGTGAATAACACAAAGGCCTCTATGAAGAAATTCTAAATTCTCCTCACCCTTTTGGCAAAGATCAAGCACAAAAGTTTCCTAGAAAATTATTTTTGTCACAATTGATAGATATTGCTGAAGTTGCATGAAATCCAAGTGTGAATAATTTGTGTTTGACTACATGAATTCAAAACATATAAAGAACATGGTATATACTTGTCTTTGTGCATCTTTGTTTTTCAGCTTTAATTTAGTTTATTGGTACATTTTAGGGATACAGTACAGTTACATTCATTGTTGGGATCTTGTACCTCTACATGACAAGTCTTGATTCTCATTTTTTCCCCTTACCCCTGCCCTCCCTTCACCCCCTTCTAAAGGTGTTCAAGCAACACAGAAGTGGAAAATCTAACACAAGTCACTGAATTTCATCTCTTAGGCTTCTCAGAGGATCCAGACTTGAAGCCCATCCTCTTTGGTCTCTTCTTGTCCATGTACCTGGTCACAGTGCTCGGGAACCTGCTCATCATCCTCGTTGTCTTCTCTGACTCCCACCTCCACACCCCCATGTACTTTTTCCTCTCCAACCTGTCCTTCGCTGACATCTGTTTCACCTCCACCATGGTCCCCAAAATGATTATGGACATCCAGAGAAACAGCAGAGTCATCTCCTATGTGGGCTGCTTGACACAAATGTCTCTTTTTCTCATGTTTGCATGTATGGACGACATGCTTCTGAGTGTTATGGCCTATGACAGGTTTGTGGCCATCTGTCACCCCCTGCATTATCCAGTCATTATGAATCCTCGCCACTGTGGCTTCTTAATTGTGCTGTCTTTTTTGTTTAGCATTTTGGACTGTCAGCTCCACAATTTAACTGTCTTACAATTTATGTACTTCAAGGATGTTCTCATTTCCAATTTCTTCTGTGAACCTGCTCAACTCCTTAATCTTGTCTGTTCTGACAATTTCTTCAGTAACATTTTCAAATACATTGCTGGTGTGTTATTCGGATTTTTTCCAGTCTCGGTCATATTTTTATCTTACTATAAAATTATTTATTCTGTTTTAAGAATTCCATCACCTGGAGGGAAGTTTAAAGCCTTCTCCACCTGTGGGTCTCACTTATCAGCTGTTTGCTTATTTTATGGAACAAGCAGTGGTGTGTATTTTGGTTCAGCTATATCACAATCTCCCAGAAATTGTTTGATTGCCTCAATCATTTACACCTTGGTCACCCCAATGCTAAATCCATTTATCTACAGCCTGAGGAACAAGAACATTAAAAGAAGCTTGAGCAGGTTCCACAGTAGAAAATTAAAATCTTAGGATCTGAGGTATCCAGTATAAATATAGAGTAAAACAGATAGCAAAATTAAACACTTATATCTATACATTCTACTTTTGTGATCACATTGTTTTTGTATTAGATGACTTTAAATTCTCTTTTCATATATATCATAGCATAATAGTGTTAGTTCTTGAGCATGGAAAGTATTTGGACTTTTAATAAGTAAAAAATTTTACTTTGTGAAGATGAACAATTTCTGTAAGTGGACTTTGGGGTTGGGTGGATATACCATAGTGTGAATATAATTAATTACACTGAGATCTGCTCTTGAAAATGGAGCATATTGTCCATTTTCAATTTTTAAAATTTATAATAGAAATAGAAGCAAAAAATTCAGATAAATCTTGAAAAGAAATAAAAAATGAATTTATAGCTAAAATTCCCTCTTGTTATAGAAAGAACACGCCAAATTTAATAGAGATTAATTGATTTCTTCTGCCACTAGTATTAGAAAGTTCTTAGACTGTGTAATGAACTAATTTGGTTAGGACTAATTAGGTAGAGAAGAGTTGCTAGATTTTCTATGTTTTCAGGACCATGCAGAGAAGTAGCAAAAAGCATCAAATGGTGGAAGACATGAAAGGATGGAGAAAGACTACCAGGGAAATTGAATGTTCATCACTAGGACAACAATTCACACTGGGTAGACAAATAGCAGGACCCCTACATGCAAAATGTGAACTATGAGGCCTGTAGAAGTTTTGTGTATGATTCTGGTGGGGATTCTAAGAAAATCAAATTTAAGGTTTTGATTTCTTCTCTCATTGGTTCTCCTTTTCAAAGACATCCCATGCAGACCATAGAAAACGGGTTTCTTCAAACTATTTCCTGAGCCTTCAAAAGGATTATGAAGAGCATGTTGAGGATGAGGGTGAGCATGACAATAATCATAACCTCACGGATCATTATTGACACATTTCTGAGTGCCAAGTGTTTCATGTAGATTTTTGATTCATCTACATAGTTTTACCACATTGTTTTGTTTTATGGAAGAGAAATGATCATGATATTTTTTACCAGCATGTGCTGGTGTGTAGCTTTGCACAGTGAAGACATGTTGGAATTCAAAAGTCTCATTGCACACACAGGGAACCTGGGTAGGAGAATCCTGTTAGTTTGGCCTCTTGACAATTCAAATTCCCATTTCACTTCCCTGTCACTCCAGGTGATACCCTTTGCTGCCTATGCATTCATCTTCAGGGCTCCTGATAGCTGATAGGATAAAGCTGCATATGGAGGCTGGTCTGTCAACCATAGAAAGAATGACTGAGGTCAGAAGCATGAAACACAGAGAAAGTCCATGATAACATAGCACAGACCTCCATATTTTTCTGCTTCACACTATCCTTTCAAGTGTCCATGAAAGATTAAAACCACCCCACTCAATTGTAGAAGGAGATTTAAAGTCAGGTATTGATATCCTTCCTACTCAGGACACTGCAAAAAGTTGAAAATGCTACCTGAAGTCAAAAATCTTTGTACCTGTATTTAAACGTTTCTGATGGCTGGAAAACAATGAAAAAGGTTAGTCATCTTACCAAGAGGTTGTCAATTTATTTTTCATTGCTCTCTGCTCCATTTACAAGTTGTTTAAATTAGAGCAATTTTTTAGCATCTCTGGGGCTCAGCATTGTCATCATTTATACACCATTGAATAACAATTAGATAGTAGTTTCTCTCTGTGAGATTAATATGTAACACAAGTAGGATATTGGGCCAAATGAAAGTTAGGCAGTTATTATTAAAAACACAGCCTCTGTGTTCAGTGAAAATGTCTCATGAGCTGAAGTTATTCTGTTCTTATTTCGGTAATGTACTTTAATTTCACCCTTATGTAATATGTGCTATGCATTTGCAAAAGTGATGGTTTTCATTCTGATTCCCCAGGGCTTATAATGCATTTGTTCTAGAGAAGGCATCAAAAATAAAACTCTGTTAAATATTGCATGAAATCTTCCTTTATAACCACATCTTAGTTATCATTGCAACTGCAAAAACTCAGCGTTTTCCTACCTGAAGTTTTATCTTTTTCAGGAATGTCTAATACACTAGAGAGAAATAAAAATAACTTTTCTTCCTAGGTCTTCTACACTTGGGAACCATAGTACCATGAAAATCAATATAGCTTTAAATCATTCATTGACTATGGGGAGTTTTTCAGTAGCATAAAAGAAGCAAAAGAAATGCAAAGACAGAATAGCAGCAAAACTGATTGGGGTGAATCTTAGACATTCATATCACTACAAGATTCCAGAGCAATTAAACAATTTTATTCATCATGAGAACTATTATTTCCTGAAAATGAAAGATTTATTTAAAAACTATGTACAGTGAAATAGGTATTAGATTTCCAGATTACTTACTGTCACACAGTGTCTGGTGATAAATATTATACTTTCTGTTTTTATTTATTAGCAGTATGAAGAGAGAGGATGAGAAATTCCCACACATTTTCCTGACTTCCATCCCAAGACATTGTTTTTTATTTGAGTCAAAAGGAAATAGTAATCCCAATGAAATAAAAATGTCTTGATTAGTTATCTTGGAAGATTTTACTAAAAGAATCTCAATTATATTTTGATTATACATGTTAAGAAAAATGCAATATATTTAAGAATCACTGACTTTTATTTGGAAAGTAAATATAAGTGGCTTTTAGTAATATTACAAATGCATTAGTTGTGAGAAGTCAAACAAGGAGCCTTCATCCATATATTATGTAATAACTTGGACTGCTGTGAAAATTGATTTTTTATAGGATAATCAAAACAATAAACCCTAAGTTAAGTAATGCTGCTATTAGGTAGTAATGTATATCAGTTAAAATGTTAAAAATAGATGTATAGGCATCACAGAAAGATTTAAAAGCACATGGTCAATGTCAAACATTACATTCAAGGACAATAAGTATTGTACATTATTTTAGGGAGGTGATGATAATTTACAGATAAATTTTTAAGAACATTTTATGGATGCATAAATCAATAGCATCATGACAACTGACAGGGAAATTCACCTAACAAATTTAAGAGAGTCATTGCCTTTGGAGGAAAGGAGTGCAGGAGAGAAAAATCATGCATAGAAACCAAGACTTCAAATTTCAAAGGCAATAATTCAAATAATGATAAATATTAGTTATGAAAAAAAATTACTAAATATACTTTGAAATTTATAGTCAGTTTTCTTAACAATGAGAGCATGGAATACTAATGTATCATTTAAACATAGCAAAATCTATCTAAGGTGCTGGTTCTTAACACCAGTTTTTTTTTTTAAATATATACAAAGAATTCCTCATTAGTTTGGATCTATGGCAAGGTTATCCAAATAGTTTGAAATACACAGGTATTTATATTTATTTGTGAGAATGAGAGCCATTCATTAAATTTAATAATTTTGAAAATGAATTGTTCCCTAAAAATCCTGTTAGTTAATAATTATACAAATTTCTATATGAGAAATTTATACATGTGTATTTTAAATATTTTCTCTTCTTATTTTATTTGTCATTGCTTTTCCCCCTATGAAATCACAGTGATACCTGACAGAGCAGTGAATTGCATTTACCTTTGGGTCGTTAAAATAAAATAATTGGAATCCATGTATCCAGAACATTGATGCGGGAATCTACTAAGATATCACATAATGTTTTGCATGAAGCCTGGTCTTTGGAATTTATTTGGTGCTGAAGTTCTTAACTCTAAATAGGAGATGCTTTCTCACCCCTCCAAATTGACAATAGCTTTTATTTAACCATATTTCACAGTATATACTTATATATTTAACACTATACTCAACAATGTTCAGAAAAGATATAATGAATCTAATTGAAGCTCTCTAAATTTGCATCTAAATGCAAGCTTTTTAAATTTTATGCAAAATAGAGGCATTGTCAAACTGTTATTTAATGATTGCTTTTGCTACATTTTCCTCTAGAAATTTTACTCATGTAATCTTTACTACAAATCAAACAGTAGATCATGTATTCTTTCAATGTACCAGTGTTGTATACGGAAATACATTTTATTAGTATATGTTTGCAATATATTATGTACTTACATTCATCAGGGGGAATAACATTCAGGAAAATAGTAAAGGATAGACTATTATCAGATCATTATTCAATGAAATTGTTCTCTCTCCTTCCTAAAATAAGAAAAATATTCCTCACCAGATATTTATAGGGTTGGTACAAATAAATCATACAAAATGAAATAAAATTTAAAGCTCTTTATTATCAATTCCTTGCTTTCTAGTCATGGACAAGTACAATGTAACTAATATCACATTGCTGATCAGTGATATCATTAATTATGTGTAGTAAATTTAACAACAGTTCCCAAATTTGAAGCCCACCAAAGGCCAGAAAAATAGGAGTAATGTACTGAATAATTTTAGGAAGATAAGCAATGTTTGACAGAGCACTTACATCCTTGAAGAAGGGAAATGAAAAAAACATATAAATAATAAAAGACTTGGATAAAACAAAAAACATATAAATAATAAAAGACTTGGATAATAAGTGCTATGAATCATGTGTCCCAATTATAAATTTTAACTTTAATTTAGTCTCTAGATCTTGACACTGACTTTTAAAATAATTTCTGCTTTAGATGAATCTGTACCATAGCCAGAATGCTAAAGAGATTTTTTTGTTCTTAATTTCCTTCAATTAGTATGCTTTTTTGTAAAATGGGAAGGATTCTTTTGTCCTCCTTTTCTTCTGCAAAGAATAAGCTTCAATTTAGGTGAATGGGGGCTTACCTCTAATGTTCTTTGTCATTAGACATTGTTGAGTATGAACCAGATAGTACAGAAAGAAGAAAATAATATAGAAAACCAGTAATGAAAGAGTTCCAAGAAGACATTGTTTTTCACAACTGAGAAGTATTGCCAAAGGTGCACAGACCTCAAATATAAATATTTCACTTATAGATCCTTGTGTGAAAAATATACACAGAAAGCTGAGTGTGGTGGA